CACTTGGAGGTGTGTGGGCGTGTGTGTGTCAGGCCCTCGGTGCAGGTGTGGATGGAGGCAAACCGGAGCTCTGGTCCTATGTGCCCAGCTGTCTGCCTGGAGTCTCCCAATGACGTTACAAAGTGTAGCCAGCTCCGGTCCAAGGAAAACAGAAGCAAGCACACGTTTACTCATGCTGACACCTAGTCCCCAGGGATGGGAACCTAGGGCAAGGCTTGTAGCTGGTGACTGAGCCATCCATCATGACCTGGGCAACTTCTTCCTGACCTGGAATGAACTCGAAGGCCATGTAGGCTGGAAACAGTGCAACCGGCCCCAAGGACTCCCAACTCTCCTGCCCCTGTGCCGGCTTCTTTGGCTAAGTCTTGGCTTTCTCCCCAGGGACTGACTAGTCAACTGCTGACAATTCAAAACTCTTGGCCAGGCTGCCACTCTACCACTTGGGACCTCAGTCTCTTCTTCTGAAAAATGGAACATCAACATGCTCTTCCTGACAGTGTGGCGTTCAGAACCAGTTGTGTTTGTCACTGTGCAGGACACACAGGGAGGACCACAAGTCACTGCAATTATTCACTCAGTGAAATTCCTGATCATTGTCCCTGATTAAAAAAAGACACTCATACTTTTATCAGTTAAACATAGGATTAGTGCATGGCCCAGCAATTCCACTCCTGGGTTTATACCCAAAAGAACTACAAAGGAGAGACTCAGCTGGCACGCACCTCAGTGTTCATTACAACGTCAGTCATAAGAGCCAAAACATGGCAACAACTCTGTCTATCACCAGTGAACAGAAAAGCAAAAGGTGGCCCGTCCATCCACATAATAGAATATTATTGTTAAGTGCTATCGAGTCAGTTCCAACTCATAGCGACCCTGTATAGGGTTTCCGAGCCTGTGAATCTCTGTTGGAGCAGAAAACCTCATCTGTCTCCCGAGTAGCGGCTGGTGGGCTTGAACCACCAAACTTGTGGTCCACAGTTCAGTGTTTATCCTATGGCGCCACTGTGCTCCATAAAAAGGAATGAAGCTTTAATTCATGTGACAACATGGATGAACCTTGAAAATGTTACGTTCACAACACAAAAGGTCAAATATCTCTGACCACTTGTTTGAAAGATTTTAAATAGACAAATGCCTAGAGACAGAAAGTAGATTAGTAAATTACCAGAGGTGAGTGGGGGAGATTCAAGCTGGCTACACAGTTTCTTTTGGGGCAGGTGAAATTGCTTTGGAAATTAACAATAGTGAGTTGTACACCAGTGTGAATATAATTAATGTGCATACACTTCAGAATGGTTACAAATGGCAAACTTTGTATATATGTAGTCTATTACAAAAAAGTTTTAAAAGATACTAGTAATTAATTTTTTTTTTTTTTAAAGATATATCAGCATTAATGATGCCAATGGAAATAATGAAAGATCTGCTAGAACAAGACCCTTCATACTCACAGTGGAGAGAGCTTGGGGCTTAGAAATCTGAAGCCCTGGGTTTTTTGCTTCTGTCTTGGCAAGTTACCTCCTCTCTTTGAGCCTTCATGTTTTCACCTGCAAAGTGGGTGAACAACATATCAAAATGTTATATCAACAACTGTGCTGGCAGAGACTCAGTGGAGCCTGAGGCAAAAGGTGCAATCAGTAAATGGCCGATTCTGTCTTGATTTTAAAACTTGAAGTGTTGCACATTATGTATTTTTTTAAAGTTTATTGTGAATGGCGAGAAGTTTACAGAGCACATGGTCAGTTTTACATTCAACAAATCATACACTTCTTTCATCTCAATTGATTTATGATTAGGGATTTTGAGGCATTCATTTTATTTTTAACATATTGCATGAAAATATTGTTTATCTTGTTGACTGGGTTTTTTGGTGCCTGTTTTCTTAAAATTTTGCAACCAAGTTATGTCTCACTTGCTTCACTCTGAGGTGGATGTGAGGGTTCAAGGGGAGAAAATGCTGATAAGGATGGTAATGGTAGTAATTTTAGCCCACCCGGAGGCAGGCATCTCAGAAGAAAGGCTTGGTGATCTTCATTTGAAAGGTCACAGCTTTGAAAGTCCTCAGGAGCACAGTTCTACTCTGCACACAGGAGGACAACTAGCAACAACTAAGTAGTGATTGTCCTTACACTCGTAGTAATAATAATAGTGTTGTTGTTGTTGTTGTTAAGTGCCATTGAGTAGTAACTTTTTGCTACTGTCTCTGTTGTTGTTGCCAACTGCTGTTGCATTGGTTCCGACTCTGTGCAGGGTTTCCAAGTAGCTGGTGAGCTTAAAACACCGATCTTGTGATTCAAACAGACCTTGCGGTCAGTGCTTTATCCCCTAGGCCATGATCTCTGTTGTTGTTGCGTGCCATCAAGTTGGTTCCGACTCACAGCGACCCTGTACAGGGTTTCCAAGGAGCAGCTGGTGAGCTTGAACCACCGACCTTGCAGTTCAAATGACTTTGCTGTCTGATGCATTAACCCACAGCACCACACCAGGCTAAGACTTGTTAAGTGCCGTGGAGTCGGTTCCAACTCATAGCGACCCTGTACAGGGTTTCCGAGGCTGTAAATCTTTATGGGAGCAGAAAGCCTCATCTTTCTCCCGCGGAGCAGCTGGTAGTTTTGAACTGCTGACCTTAAGGTTCGCAGCCCAATTTGTAACCATGACGCTACCAGAGCTAGAAGGCACTAATCTAAGGAATATATTTATTTCATCTTTGCATTTATCCTCCTCAACAATAGGTAAAGTACATAGTATTATCATCCTGGTTTATCAGAGGAGGAAACTGAGGCACAGAGAGATCAAAGCACTGAATGTAGGTCACACAGCTGGGATCCCACGAAGGTCCTTTGTCATTGGGGACCAAAAGGACACCAGAGAGATGAAGGGTCAGGGAAGGGGACATTCAGGACTGCAGGGATGGATCCTCCCACCCCTCCCTCCCCGCCTCACCTGGCCCTGCCTACCGGAGGGTTGGCTTGAGAATCCCTCCATAGTGCCCCCCTTCTCTCCCCACCTCAGCGATCCCCTCCCCCAGCCCCTTGGGGACCCCTGAACCTCTACTCCCTCCCAGCTCCCCTTCCCTCTGAGGGTCCATTTCTGGGTTCCCACTCATTTTCCACCACCACTTTGGGGGCGTTCCTCAGTCCATCTCTCTCCTAACCCCTCCTCATCATTCCTTATTTTCTGGTTACCCCTTCATCTCACCCCTAAAACGGTTTGGGCTTTGCCTTATGCAGCTAAGGCACTGGTCCGTCAAACAGGAAATCTCCCGCCCCCCAGTCCCGAGGGTCCTCTCTGCCCCTCTCCCCTTTGGGAATCCCTCGGAGGGCTGCCCATCTTCCCCTCCTGGCTCAGGGCTCCCCACTTGCTTTCTCCCCTCCTCCCAACTCCAGCGGGGATTTGCCTCCCCCTCCCCCGTGGGACTTCCCCCTCCCTCGACCCGTGACTCCTGGGGGCCCGACGGGGTTTTCCTCATGCGCCCACGTGGAGCTCCGTGGAAAGGTCGCAACCATTACTCAGAGTCCCTGCCCCGCCCCCACCACGCGGATGAAATGACCGGCGAGTCCACCCCGCAGATGGGCTCGGGAAGGTTGAGGCCAGGCCGGAAGGGCTGGGCCAGGCCTCCTGCCCCGGGCTGGGGGCGTCACCGCCTGTCAGTTGGGGAGAACTGGGAGATGGCCGCGCCGAGAGATCCCAGTTTCGGTTTAGAAGCAAAACTACAGCGCCGTGCCAAGCCCATGTAGGGCTTCCTGGGGCATTTTTCTTTGTGTGATTTTAGTTTGGGAAAATTTAAAAAAAAAAAAAATTTTTTCCCCTTTAGAGCAGTGAAGGGGCCCATTCTGGGAAGGAGACTATGGGGGTTGCTCCCCAAAGCAACCTTTCCTACAGCTAAAGATGGCTAATGGACTGATGGGCCGGCACCCACTGCGCTGTGTGTTCCCAGGAGGCTCTTGGCCTCTCTGGGCTGCGGTGGTGACGGCGGCTGGAGGTTGCAGCCAGCTTCGGGGGAGGGAGGGTGTGTGTGTGTCTGTAAGTGCCGGGAGCTCGGAGCTGGCTCCAGTCCGGCCGGTAACATTGGCTCAGCAGCCAGGTTTCGGGCAGGTTTCGTAATAAACCGGTCTTTTAATTGCTACAGGGCAGGAGAAGGAAAAAAAAAAAAAAAAAAGAGGCGAAGCTTTGTTGGACTTGGGTGGTGGCGCCGGCTGCAGAGGAAGGCAACACTGTTTTTGTAAAGGAGCCTGAAGCTGCAAACAGGGTCTTCACAAACACTTCCTGAGGAAGCTGAGGGGGCAGGGGGGCTGCGTGTGTTATGAAGGGGATCCCCGGCTGTCTTTCTCATAATCCCCAAAGACACCAGTAGCCAGCCTGAGGCTTAACAAATTTATTACAAGGCCATCCTAGAAATAAAAATAGATGAATTTGTGTCTATCCAAGATGAAGCTCTTTGCAGTGGTTCAAGTAACAAGTGCAAATAACAAAATAGATTGTCTCTATAATTTGCAAAGAGGAGTTTCTGGGTCCGGTACAATGTGGGCCCCAGCTCCAAGTCCCGAAGTAGAAAATCCTGGCAAGGGTCCATGCCCTAGGTCAGCCAAGTCCTTTTTTATGCAGAGGGCAGCTCCGGCCTCAACAAGGGCAGGGGACACCACAGGTCTCGTCCCAGCACCAGGTGAAGAGTGCAAGCCCTCCATACTCCGGCCGTCTGCTCCATCTCCAGGCCTACGCCTCCGGGTCCGGGTCCCCTCTTTTGGTGGCTGGAGGGGGCCCCCCCTCTCCTCTCTCTCGGTGGTGGCCATCGATGGTGCTGCTCCAGGCCACCACCCTGGGAGTGACCCCACACCCCCCTCCTTCTTGTTCTCAAGTCTCCAATGACTTTTCACCCCCGGTGGTCTCATGGGTTTGGTATTTTTTTGGGGGGGGGTTGTTCTGGGGGGAAGGGGGTCAAATATTTATTTGATTTTTTTTTGGCAACAACTCAGCATCTTCTGGTGCTGGTAGGTGGCTCAGCGCTCCTGGAGGGAGATGTAGGGGACCCATTGGTTGTTTCCTCTGCTCTCTTGACAGTAACTGGCTACTTCCACGAGCCCCTGGCTCTTCCAGGCATCCGTATGAGGGTTCTGAAGAAAGAAAGATGGGGGTTCAGAGGCAGGCCCCTCACAGTGACCAGGGGAGTCTCTCGCATGCCAGGGGAAAACACACAGACCCAAAATAGCTCCCTGGGTGACAAGGCCAGCCCAGCTGCCCACGGGACATGCTGGGGACATGCCACGCATGGCTAAGGGCTGAGGTGGCAGGCCAGCTCTACTTTGTTGATCAACAAGGCCCAGGTGGCCGGGCGGGGCGGGGGCCCGACTCACCGTGACCAGGAGGCAGTGAAGGTCCCGGGGTTCCTCAGGGTCCTGAGTCTCGGCCGGCTCGTCCAACAGCTGGGCCAAGCGCTGCATGCCCGACACCCGCACGATATCGATGTCGTTGTCACAACAGAAAGACTGGATGAGGGTGAAGTGAATCTGCAGGGCAATGTCGTCCTCCTCCTCCTCGTCGATGGCCAGGAGACACAACACCACGCTGTCGGGGTCCCTGAAGACAGGGAGGGGGAAGGGCGGGTCAGCCGGGGACACGGTGCAAGGGACTGTTTGCAGAAAGCCAGGGAAGCCAGCTACGTGCAGGAATGTGGGGGGCAGCAGGACTATGTGCTGGGGAGGTGGGCGAGGGTACTCACTTCACATTATGGAGGGCTAAGACCGGTAAGTGGCAGTAAATAAAACATGCATGAAAGCACCCCCTCTCAAATGCAAATGAACCCCCAAGCCGTAGTGGGTTCCCCCACCACCACCCCACCCCCCGAGCAAGAAAGGGACTTGGGGAGCCTTGCAAAGCGGAAGGATAACCCACCCCGCGCCCAGCCCGGGGACGGGGGCTGACTCACACATTCATCAGCTTAGCCGACTCGTACACCCCCACGGTGAGGCGGTCCAGGCGCTGCGCAGCCACCAAAAGCTCCTCTACCGCAGCGCTCACCGTCTGCATCCTGGGGACCAAGGGACAGGGCGGTCAGGCCGAGCCGGTCACCGGGCTCTGCGCCCCGCGCCTGGGCCAGCCCCTTCCCAGCCCGGTTGACCTCAAGCGGCGGAAAACCGGCTACTTACTTCTGCGCCGCGTTGTCGCACGCCACGATCTCTTCCAGGGTCATGTTGCAATTATAATCCACAGTGAAAACAGTTCCAACACAGTCCCAGAAGAGGGAAAGATAAAATCTGAGCGCTGAGAACCCGTAGTACGTTCCCACGAAGCCGGAGCGTTAGTCCAAAACGTTCGGGTGGCAAGAGCAAAATTCCCAAAGAAGTTGAAGTCAAGCAAAAAAAAAAAAAAAGCCCAGTAAAGTCCTCAATGCGAATAATCCAGTAGCAGGGGAAGAAACACACGTGTCATCAACTCCAACGATCTGCGCCCAAAGGCCGCCGGAGCTGCTTTTATAGACTCACACTGTTCGGGGCGTGGCCTCTCTAGGCCCGGTTGGCTTTCCTATTGGTGGACCAACAAAGGCTCGAGTAGTGCGCACTGCGATTGGTTGATGTCAGGAGGGGCGGAGTACGGTGTGGGGGCGCCCCACGTGGGCGAGTGAGTCGGGAGGAGTTAAGGGGGGCCGGCAGAACCCGAGTGAAAAAAAAAAAAAAAGCAGAAGTTTTTCTCCTGATTTCCCGGCAGTCGCGCCGCGTTTCGGGGCGCGCGCGGGATTTCCAGCGCGCGAGGCGGCTCCAACTTTCCGAGGGATCTGGAATCCCCTCCTTTGCCTGGGAGAATCCCCGACCCGTTTATTTCTCCAAGGGGGTCTGCATGGGAGGTAGCGTGCATGGAGAGGGGACTCCTTTGCACCCGACCCCTTCCAAAGGTGTGCTAGGAGGGGGTCCCTCCTGGCTGCGGCACCTCCCAACTTTGAGTGATTCCACCTCTCTGTATCTCTGTCCCCCCACCTATTCCGAGCGAATGCAACATCATCCTCATCGGGTCGGGGGGTGCAGTCAGTAGGTGCATACAGTGTATACAGCAAACGCTCAACAACTGGGGGATGCGCTAGGTCTCCCCGAGGGCCCCCAAGAAGTGGGGCCTTCAGAGACCTGGGCGTCCTGGTGAAGAGGGGGCGCCCCCACCGCTCCCCCTGCGTGAGTTTCAGGGTGGGGCGGCGCAGGTGGCTCAGCATCGGCAGTGGGTATCCAGGGCGGGTGCTCCCCCTGCCGGCTGCACCCGCCCCACCGCTTGACCGCATTTGACCGAGCAACGAAATGCAAGGCCGAGAGAAAGCGAAGGCGAAGCGGCTCCGGCTGGAGATGCCTGCTGCCGGCCTCTACTGGCCAGTTTGCATTCACGCTCGCCACTTACTGGACGCCTACAATATCACTCGGGAATATGGTTCATTGCAACCTCAAGGACCTGGGGAGCAGGGGCTATTCGCATGTCCGGCATGCAAAAGGGGAATCTGAGGCTCGGGTTGCAGTCACGCGGGTGCACACAGGGGACCCGGCCAACCTTGTCGTCACCCCGCTCCCCACCACCATCAGGGAAGACAGCTCCAGAACGAGGCAGGCAGGCTCAGGTGGGATGGTCTCCCACAACCGATCGGGGGCTCCCTGGTGACTCATGACTTCGCCCCCCTCCCACGCCAGTCTGGTCTCGGCCGCGCTGCTCAGTTTCCCCAGGCTCCCCGGCCCGCGGGTCCAGCTGACGCATCGTACCGCCTCCGCGCCGCCCACCCAGGCACTAAAGGTCCTGGCGCTGAGAGGCGCAGCAGCGACACCTGGTGTTTGCGTCGGGTCTCTGTGCCTGTAGGGCCGGAAGGGAAGGGCGAGCCGCTTGGAATCCCTGATATACACAGTACTGCACATATATAATGCATACTTTATGACTCCTGGTATGGTGCTGTAGGACAGCCCTGGACTGCAAACCACAAAGTCGGCGGTTCAAACCCACCGCTGCTCCTCGGAAACCCTTTACGGGTCGCTATGAGTCAGAATCGACTCCACAGTACTTATCAACATCAATATATACTGTATACTTCATAGATGCAATTTAAAAAATGAATTTTGCGTTTTAGAGAAGCTTTAGACTTAGAAAATTGTGCGGAAAGTAGAGAAATCCTTGTACCTTTCCCCCCTGAGTAGTCTAAATAACTAAAGCAGCCCCTTGTTTTTCTTACATGCTGTGTGTGATCCTTAGGGTTTTGTGTTAACTTGGCTGGGCCTGGATTTCCCGTGGTTTGGCATTTTGTTGTTGAGTGCCGTGGAGTCGAGTCTGACTCACACAACCCTGTATAGGGTTTCTGAGGAGCGGCTGGTGAGTTTGAATCTGACCGGCAAATTGGTTTCCACTCATAACACTGAGAGTCGTGCACCATCCTCACGATTTTTGTGTTGTTTGGACCCTTTGTTGCTGCCACTGTGCCAATTCATCGTGGGGTCTTCCTCCTGTGTGCTGACCCTCCACTTTACCAAGCATGATGTCCTCTCCAGGGACTGGTCCCTCCGGATAATATGTCTGAAGTGTGAGAGACAAAGTCTTCCCATCTTAGTTTCTAAGAAGCATTCTGGTTGTATTTTTTAATATTTTTTCAACTTTTTATTGGGAATTGAGTGAAGGTTTACAGACGAGATTACCAGTTCTACATTCAGCAAACTATATACCTTGTTTCATTTCAATGATTACAATCCTCCCCCTGTAACAATATTTATCCCACTTCCTCCCTGTGGCTCCCCATTTATATCTATGTTTCACAAATGAACAAGGCAAAAATATTTGATGCACACTTACAAAACAAAACAAATATATATAGTCATTTAAATATCCAAAGGGTACATTCTGCCAGCCAGCCTCTTGCCCACACGCACACAGACACCATCTCTGCTGTCGCTGTTTTCCGGGTAGGATCTCACGCTCCACTCATACTCTTCCTTCTTGATGGTTTTAGGTTTGTGCTTCTGAAATGAAAGATTAATTACTTCCTCCTTTTAGTACACATCTACAATTACAGTTGTGACCATCGCAATGAATCCTAAAGTCCCGTCACCATCAACCCCATCCCTTTTCACCAGATCCATCTGGGAAAGAGGGAGTTCTACCTTACCCTGCTCATTGTAGAACTAAGTACACTCATAAGAGCTTGTGAGACAGCCTCTTCATGCCTTTGTTGTTGTCGTTAAGTGCCGTAGAGTCGATTCCAACCCATGGCGACCCTGTAGAGGGTTCCCAAGGAGCAGCTGGTGAGCTTGAACCACCAACCTTGCAGTTTAAACAACTTTGCAGTCTGATGCATTAGCCCACAGCACCACACCAGGACTCCTCATGCCTTTGTAGCCTCCCCATTTTTGATAGCCAATGTCTAAATGTCTACAGGAGGGACCAGTCGCTGGAGAAGGATATTGTGTTTGGTAAAGTGGAGGGTCAGAGAAAAAGAGGAAGACCCCCAACGAGATGGATTGGCCAAGTGGCAGCATCGATGGACTCAAGCGTGGCAACAGTAGTGAGGTTGGCCCAGGATCGGGCAGTGTTTCGTTCTGCTGTGCATAGGGTTACTATGAGTTGGTACCGACTTGATGGCACCTAACAACAACAACAATTAACCCAGTAAAGGAGCTCTGGTAGGGTAGTGGTTACGAGTTGAGCTGCTAACCTCAAGGTCAGCAGTTTGAAACTACCAGCTATTCCACGGGAGAGAGATGAGGCTTCCTGCACCCATAAAGATTTCCAGTTCCTTGATATAAAGAATCCTTCCATTCTGGTTGGAATTTTGAGTCACTGCATTCATAGGTAAAAATCTAGTTCATCAAATTGAAGGAATTTACACTTGTTCTCAGTATCAAACATCTTTATCTTCCTCAGTTCAAGTTCTGGTCAACTAGCCAGGCAAGCTAGGTCAAATAGATACTAGCTACAAGTTTAGGAGTTCACGGACACCTCCCTGCACTTCAGACCAGCTGGTTGCTTCACTCTCAGCTCTAGCTTCCAGAGGCTAGGTCAGTGCCTATAGACTCAGTTCACACGTCTCCCTAAACTTCAGGTCAGTCACCTCTTCCTCTCCTCTCTCTCATCTCAAGGTCAAGGGATGCCAATGGAAAATGGCCAAACTCAACCCATGTCTTCATTGCTGCATGCCCCCCCACTTCTACTCACAAGTACACGCAGGTGGTCACCAGCAAGCATACTAGACTAATGATAGTTTCCTTTTGAGCTTCAGTCCTAGAAGCGGGTTTTTGCTGATGGGCTAACTGGTGTTTCCTTGATGCGTCCAAATCAAACAGCTTGTATACTGAAACACTGACTATACTTCTTCTAACACAGATTTGTTCTTCCGGAAGTCTATGGTATTTTTAATAGTCTTCTCCAACACTATAATTCAAATTCATCAATTCGTCTATAGCCTTCTGTTTTCATTGTCCAACGTTCGCATGCATAACAAGGCTAATGGAAATACCATGGCTTGTGTCAGGCGCACCTTAGTTCTCAAACTGACATCTTTGCTCTTGGATACTTTCAAGAGGTCTTGTGCAGCAGATTTGCCTAGTGTAGCACGTCCCTCGGCTTCTTGACTGTTACTTCCACAAGCAAAATGAAGTCTTTGACAACGTCAATCTTTTCTCCATGTATCATAATGTTCCTCATTGGTTCAGTTGTGAGGATTTTTGTTTTCTTAACATTGCTGTACAATCCTGATTGTATTTTGGCTATGGTCTTTGATCTTCATCAGTATTTTAATTCCTCCTCATCACTTTCACCAAGCAAGATTGTAGCATCAGCATATCACAGGCTGTTCATGAGTCTTGCTCCAATCCTGATGTCATGTTCTGCTTTATATAATCTAGCTTCTTGGATTGTTTGCTCAGCATACAGACTGAATAAATATGGTGAAAGAATACAGTCCTGGCTCACACCTTTCCTGATTTTAAACCGTTCACTGTTACTGTGTTTTGTTCGAACAACTGTCTCTTGGTCTATGTACAGGTTTTTCATGAGAACAATTAAATGTTCTGGAATACCCATACTTTGCAATGTTATCCATAGCTTGTCTTAATCCACACTTTGCATGGTCAGTAAAACACAAGCAAACATCTTTCTGGTATTCTCTGCTTTCATCTATGATTCATCTGACGTCAACAATAAATTATATTCTTCAGTCTCTGTCCTCTTCTGAAACTGGCTTAC